GGACAGCAGCCTTGATGAACTCTTTGCCTCTCCTGCCCTGCAGCGAAGCCGAGGGCGGTGGATAGGGCCCCCAATCACGGCCCAGCCTCGGTATCCAGGATCCTTACCGCTGGGAAGCGTCCCCTTTTCAGTCCCTGCAAACCTCACAGCTCGCCTGGCCGGAATCGCTCCGAACGAGCGTTTCTTAGCTCCGATCACAGCTTTGGAAAGGTCATTTATTTTTAAAAAATAAATCGCAATTGTAACTGCAATTTTTTTCCAAGCCCCTTTCCAAACGTTCATTTCTTTTTTTTGGATTACAACTTCCAGAATCCCCGTTTTTTTTTTCCAAGCGCCTTTCCAAACGTTCATTTCTTTTTTTTTTGGATTACAACTTCCAGAATCCCCCCCCCTCCCAGGATTCTTGGAGTTGTCATTTTTTTTAAAGCACCTTTCCAAAGTTTTCCAACTGTTCCCGTCTTTTTGGACTACAACCCCCAGATTCCCCCAAGCCAGGATTCTGGAATTTGTAACGCCCCCCCCCCAAAAAAAGAGAGGAACGTTTCTAAGCTGAGGGTGTAAGAAATGGAAGCACAATAGCCCGGAGATTTGATATTGAAGACCCCGGCCCCAAATACTGGTGTTAGATCACTCTTTGGAAAAGGAATTTATCTTAGAGTTCAATGTCCAGATTCTGGCTGTAGATAAATCCAGAGGATTAATACATAACCAGGGCTTGTGCTAAATAAGGAACATTGGAACATTAAATCCAGGAGCGTCCACAGCGAAGACAATCTTTTACTCTTTAAAAGTCTTTTTAAAGAATTTTTGTTACACTTGGGGAAACAGACTGACACAGCTACTTCCTCAAAAAGCCATGTAACAGATCAAGAGGAAAACCTTAGTCGTTGGGTAAATAATTGCGTATACTGTATCTAAATCTCTGTCTCTCCATGTGTCGGAGGGAGCGAACGGTAATCCAGGAAAGCTTTTCAAAACAACAACAACTATTTTTAAAGTCTTTTTTAAAAGACTGTTTTAAAACTTCTTTTAAAAGATTGTTTTTAAAGTCTTTTTACAAACATATTAAAGTCTTCTAAAAGATTGTTTTAAAAGTTTTTTTTTTTAAAGACTGTTTTTAAAGGAGCGCAGTGATTTTTTTGATTCTGCTCTGGATTTGGTTTCCTTATGTATATCAAAGCAGACAGGTGTCATGATTTATTTGAATGCTTCCTTTTGTTTCCAAATTTTGCTGTGTGACACTATCAAGGACGTGTCCAAAAATCAAAAATAAATATGGGGATTTAGAGGGCCTTAAAGATGTCACTTTGCAGATTGAAAGCCGTGTTTTAAAATATTTGTGTGCTGCAGTTCTGAAATGTTAAGTTGTCGCTGACAGTTTTTTTGTGCATGATTTCAATACCTGTTTTGTAAGGGGCCTTAGGTCCCTGCGAGCGTTGAAAGACAGGGGAGAAATTAAATAAAGAGAGGAATCAAGCATGCCAAAAAAGGGGAAGGTGGAAGTAATGCCCAAAAGGGTCATTTGGAATCAGGTTGTATAAAACAACATTTTAATGGAGCTGGACTTTGAAGCTTTTTTCCTACTATTTATCAGGAACCTTCTGTTTATCAGGAACCTGTGTGTGTGTGTGTGTGTGTGTAAAAAACCAGCTTCCCTGATATTCTTGCTGCCTCTAAAATAACAGTGTCTATGCAAAAGTCATTAAAATAGGCACCGATCCTTATCCACCTAAACCTTGGCGCAAGGCAGGTACTATGGCGTTTCTCCTCCCCGACGTTATCCTTCACGACAGTCGTGAGAAGTCGGTTCAGGATGAGCTGAAAGGATGATCTTGAGCTCTCTGCATGATTTTGGGGGGGGGCGTGGATGGTTCTGATTTTAGAACTCAAATCAATCCATCCATTTAGATCTCCTGAGCTTCAGGCTAAAAATTTAACCACTACACCGCACATCCTCCCAGGGATAGTTTCTGGCTGTCGGAAGGAATGGACTGGGTTCATGGCTCTCTGAGTTTTGTGAGATCTGTAAAGCATGCTTGCTTTTCCCGTCTGTGTAACTGACACAGGACCATACCTGCCAAGAAACCAGCGGTGAACTACAAGTGTCAAGGCGTGTAAATGTCAGTCGCCAATTTATGTGACGGGACTCTCTCCTTTCTTGTTCACCTGCAGGGATCTACGCCTGCTCCCGATGTGGCTACGAGCTTTTCTCCAGTAAGTCAAAATACGTTCACTCCTCCCCATGGCCAACTTTTACCGAAACGATTCACGAGGACAGCGTCTCCAAGTACTTAGAGCGCCCGGGGGCTTTCAAGGTGAGTAAGCAGAGGTGCTTGTAAGCAGCGGCCAAAACGTCTGGAAAAATCCCCCTCTCCTATATGTGTTTTCCGTTATTAAGGAAAGATTGTCAGCATGGGCTGGTCTCACATTTCATTTCTGGGCTAGCTGGAGGCCTTCTCTGATCAGAATTTGAACACAAGACAAGCATCCTGTTAGGAAAAACACGTACCAAGTGTAACAGTGCACTCTTTCCTTATGTCCGTTGCATAATCTATCACAGAAGGGTTTTGCACAACCAATTTCTCATTTGGTGCTTGGCTGGTAACATAATCTGATTGCTCATGTGCATGCGTGTTTTTTTCCCAGCAGGATCCTAAATTTTTACTTGTGTTGTCTCTTCACTTCTTTAGTCCAGAATTACCATTCTTGTTTCACCCATGTTTTAGAGGAAATTGAGCCACCCTGGTTGCCAACTCATGGAAATACTGTGGTTTCTTCAAACACTTTTGCTGTACGAGGTTGCACAGAGCAGACTGACAAAGGGGGCTCCTATGTTGTTAGTTAGAAGCTTCCTCCATGCGGCTACTTTTGTCAATAAAAGACAAACCAATGTTCCACTTATCACTGCAGGAAACAAAAGACAACCCGCTAACAGCATATCCATTGGATAAGGTGCGCAACAATAAGTAGAGAATTATTAAAGGCAAGGCCCGGACACAGAAAGCTTCTAATTAAAGATGCAGGATGAACTGTTGGTTGAATGAGCATTAGTTCAGAGTAAACAGGGGAGAAGCATTTGTGGGGAACAGGCATTGCTAAAGCAGTGCAGCAGGACCCTCTTATCTCCAGAATCAGTATCTGCTGATTCATTCATCCACGGTCTGAAAATATTAAAAATATAGAAATGAAAATTCCCAGAAATACATATTTCTAATGATGATATTAGAAGTGAGCCAGAGACCACACTATGTTTATTATTTGCTATATTTGCATTATTCCGCCTCCACAGGGAGGGCGGGTTTGAACCTCCGCAGATACCTATTGTAATGCACTACATTAAGGTCTCTGTGTAACCATCGTATCATTTCTGTATTCAGTAGCAAAATTGTCCCTCAGCAGTGTGAACGGGCTCATTTGGAAGCAACCACTGTGTGAAGCAACATGTTGGGCTGTGTAGTTCTCTGTTATCATTTCCTCTCTTTTTTGTTCATTTTCCTTCTAGGTCTTATGTGGCAAGTGCGGCAACGGTCTGGGCCACGAGTTTATCAACGATGGCCCAAAGGAGGGCCAGTCTCGCTTCTGAATATTTAGTAGCACCCTCAGGTTTATCCCAAAAGGTGTGTTGAAGGCAGCGGTCGGTTCCCTTTTGGTTTGGCTTGTAGAATTCTCCGACTGGGCCCATAACCATTTTTGAACGAACGCAGCAAGTGGCTCAAGAGTAAGGCGGTGTCGATTTTGGGCTCCTGCCGTCTCGTGGCAGAAGTACAGAATATTGTTTTGGGTAGGCTGGTGAGCCCAAAACTCTCAGGCTCAGAAGGAGAGTAAGAGCGATGGCCCCCAAGATCACCCCATATGTTTTTCCCCTGCCTCGAACCTGGCTCTCCCAAGTCCCAGTCCAGATATCTAACCAGTAAAGGAATCTGTGGGGGATGGATTTCAAGCCCGCTCCCCCACGAATGCCCAAAAAATGCAGAACGCTACACATTGCATGATCTTTGGTTCTCTTGTAGTGGACCATTCTGGAAAATACACCCTGGAAATACATATATGTACATGCCTATTTCTGGGTTTTTAAAATATCATATTTTGGGGCAGTGGAGAAGTGAATCAGTGGATGCTGATCCCGTGTGTGTGTGTGTGTGTGTGTGTGTGTGTGTGTGCGTGTGTGTGTGTGTGTCCTACAGTACACCAGCTTAGTAAGGGTCCCTTCGGTTTCCAGTCACAGCTAAGCAACAGGGTGATGTCCCTCTCTTTTCTTTTCCAGACAAAGTTGAGAAGAATCTGAGGAAATAATCTGGCTGTCATACCTGCTCCTCCAGGCTGCTTCTGATGGACCCAACTCTGTATTGACCACCCAAGTGAGACCTTTTGGTGTGGGTCTTCCAGCCTCCCCTCCCACATATCCCCCTTTTCAGTGTCCTGCTGCCAGAATGGAGGTTCACAGGTGAAAAGAGGGAGGAAGACCTCACTCTGCTGTCGTCTCTGGCAGGTGGGCGCCTCCACCAATCCCTGGGAGAGGCTCGGCCACTGCTCCTGCGCCTTCCATCGTGGCTCTTCTCTCGGACGGGGTCTTCTCTCCATCTGTTGGACCCCCTCCGCTTTATTCCTTCCTCAGGGGCAGCCGGCTAGTGCTTGGAAGCACCGCCGGAGGTGGGCAGGCGGGCTGGGCTTCAAGCAAAGAGCCGCCCGCTTCTATGAGCCAATACACCAGCGGAAGGCTTTGTTCCAAGCGGGTCCTGTTCCTGAGTCCTCCAAGGATGACAGCAGGGCAACGCTGGATCCCACCGGCCCCTTTCAGGGGAAGACAGAAAGCCCTGGCTTAGCAGCTGACTTCCTGGAGGATAGTTTTGAGATGAGAGCACCCAATGGCAAGCTGGTGTGCCTCGGCCGTCCTCTTCCTCCTCCTCCTTAATCCTCTGGCTAGCAAATTCCAGGACCACGGAGGGCAGCTTTTCATCCACCCAGGAGCCTCGAGAGCAGAAGAGGCTGCGCCCAGGGCCTTTTCCATACCTGGACCACATTTTTCTGGATCACAGGATCAGTTCTTGCAGCATCCAGGACCCTTCCAACACGTCACAGGATGCTCTGATCCATTCCTGCTTTCCCCTTGACCAAGACGCTCTGCTCGTGGCTGAATCGTGGCCTCGGGCACCCTCTCCTGATCTGGGTGATCCAGCTGTGTCCTCTACCCCAGTGGTCCCCAACCTTTTGACCTGGGTGATCCAGCCGTGTCCTCTACCCTTCTGCCTCCTCTTCCGTCCCCTTGCCGTGGGGCATTTTTTAAAGGTAGCATCGTTGTATGAATCGCCTCTGGCTAAACCCTTTTCTGGAGAGCAGGGGTGAGGAGAGTTTAGATGAGCTACCTTCTATCCTTCTACCTCCCCTTCCGTCCCTTTGCCATTGGGCATTTTTTAAAGGTAGCATTGTTGTATGAATCGCCTCTGCTAAACCCTTTTCTGGAGAGCAGGGGTGAGGAGAGTTTAGATGAGCTACCTAGAGAAAATGCTCTGGGCAATTAAGGGTTAAGCGTTGCCAGCATCTTATCCTGGTGGAGCGCTTTTGCTTTTAGTGGGGCTTCTCCCCCAGATTGCTTTTTTTTTTTCAGGCCAGAGAAAGGGGCCACTGATTCATTTTTTCAAACGCACAGGAATCCAAAGTTGGCAACCAAGTTGTTGCGTGATTTTTAAATAGAGGTGATTTTATTTCATTTTTAAATCTGGTTGAGGCACAAAGGAATTGGGCCACCTTCCGGCATCTTCTTGAACCACTCCAGTTGCCTTTAAAGTCCGTGTTCACTGTGAGCTGAGGCAAGAGAAGGGCCCGCACGCACGTTACACCTGGGATGACCTGCTTCTATTTAAAGTCTGGGGTGAGGAGGTGCAGATCTCACGAGGTTGAGGTTGCCTGCATGTGAAACATCACCTCCAGTTTTCCTCCATCCCTTTCCAGGTGACATCCAGGAATCCCTGTTTGGAACAAGGCCGAGTTAGATCGCAAACTTGCCTATGACTTACCCTTTTGCAGAATCTCCCCCCCC